GGGGTTCCCTTGGTGCCCTGGGGGCCCACGGCCGTCATGCCATCGCCGGCATGGAGCTCGAGGTGGGGGAATAAATGGGACACCCGACGCTGGGACCCCTGTCCGGCCGAAATCGAAGCGCCGCAAAAGCGCCTCCTTGCTTCCGCGCGCTAAGGTGGTGGGTAGTGGGCAGTGGGGAGTGGTATTGGAACTTGGTGGGCCACTCCCCAGTGTGACTATGGTAGTGGATATGGGCAGAGACGCACCCCGGGGCACTATGGTACAGTAGCACCCGTCGGCACACACAGAGGAGCACGTCCGTGTTGAGTCGACCTGCCCACCACAGCATCTCGCCGCCCGTCATTGCCCGTGGCCTCGCCTCGCCCTGGTCACGGACACGGACACACAGACAGCTCCTCCCTAGTCCTAGCATGAGCATGAGCGGAGAAAAACCTGTTACGCAAACGTTGATTTTCATGTGATTGTCCCACCACGCTGATTGGGGGTCGATGGGATGCCCCATGTTCAGCTTTGATCTCGCGCTGTAGGATGGCATGAGCGAGTATGAAGCTGTTCAACAGTCGTTCGTTGGTTGTCATGGTCTTGAATGTTGTAAGTGGGCACGAACGTGCTCGTCACTTGTGTGGACTGTAGCAGAATGATCACGTCCTGCGAGGAGCACTTCTCTAAACAATATATGATGATGACCATGTCTCGGCACCTGGTACTTTGTTGAATAAATGATACACTGCCCATCTATCTTCCCTATCCCGTATAATCAATCCAGCTCCACCTTGGGTGGCCACGAGGCTTCCGGGGTGCTTGCTATGGCGGGCTGTTGTGTCGGTATCGGACCAAGAACTCGGCCCTTGAACACGGAACCCTTTTGCTCTTGCAAAGAAGCCCATGCTCGCTTGGACGAGGCACGAGACGACTTGCCGCCGCGGATGCTGTTCCCAATGAATTAACAAACATCGTGGTGGTAATATGAGACGTGTGAAGGTAAAGAAAAAAAAAATGAAACCAGCAATGACAGCAGCAAGCCCGTGAAGCTCTTCCCGGGCTTCGACAACCTCCGATGCCATAACAAGCCAAACAACCCCCAGCTGTGACATGAAAAATCCAATCCTAGAGTCAATGGTATCAAGGCCGCGCCCTTCTCCAATGCGTGCCACGTACTCCATCCTGATGATTTTTTCCCCGCCCCATCCCAAAGTGATGATAAATCATTGGTGTCCCCTTCGATTTCGGTCCCAAGTCAAACTAATGCACACGTCCTCCCCCGGACAAGCGAGAGAAGATCTTCTTTTTTTGGGTCAAGTAGACGCCCGACGCCGCAAACACCAGCCCCTACTCCCAGATTCCGCCCTCTTTTGGATGCAAGTGCCTCAAATCCGTTGCGCCACCTATGAAAAGAAGGACTGAAGACTTTAATGTTGGTAAGTGAAAGAGCCCCCTGCGGGCCAGGTAGTGCCGCTGCTCGATGGCGGGAGCATGCCATCGGGGGTCTGCCCGTCGCTGGCCGAGTGAAATTCCGCGTTGCCGTCGGTTTCCCCCAGCGCGGCTCCATAGCTTGTGGGCTGAACCACGCCTGTCGACCCCGAACTGCCTGCATGGGGCAGACCACTGAAGGACGAAGAGTCGTGATCCTGGGAGCCGTTGCTGTACGACGTACTGTTTCGAGCAGCCGAGCTCGAATCGTATCCCAAATGTTGGCTGGATCCTGTCGAGGTTCCCTGTGAGCCGAATAGATTGTGAGGGCTGCTGAATGACCCGTTACTGAGGCTTTGGCTCAGACCCCCGTTGCTTGGCACAATGCCACTACCATTAAGCTGGCTTCGTTGCAGAGAGCTAGGTGTGTGAAAGGGAATCCCGTGGCTAGGGCTCTGCGCGTAGGCAACCGATTGAGACCGTCGAGCGTCTGGCAGCGTGAAGCTTTGGCTGTGGTTGAGAGAGCGATGGGTCTGCGGCGTTGCCGCGTCCCATGTGAAAGATGGAGCTGGCGCAGTTGCGTAAACACTCGAAGGCAGGCCGTGAGCGGACGATAGAGACTGGTGAGCCTGCGGAAGCTGGTAGGAAGGAGGTGTGGGTATGTAAGGATTGGTGCTGCCCCATCCGCTGGACAGGTTGGCATGCGGGACGGAATACGAGCGTCCTCCGGGTCCCATCAGCGGCTGGCCCATGGTACCGTCCCCGTTTATAAACTGTCGTCCGTCGTCGGAAACGAAGAAGATCTCGTGGTCGTCCACCGGGGCTCGGAAGTTGCTGGACTGGATCAGTTCCGATCGTGGGGTGTAAAACTTCAAGTCCGTCTGGCTCGGGGTGAGCAGTCGGTTCGCCTTGACGTCCTCCAGGCTGTAGTACGAGACCAAGTGGTGTGTAACTCCCTGTGCCGTCACACTAATGGTCTTCTTGATGAGTCCGTCCGGCTTGAACTGGTAACTGTCCACCAGCGAACCAACGTATTGGCGTTCGAAATCGCTGGCGTTCGGACTGCCGTTGTTTTCGAAGGGGCTCGATGACGTCGAAGGCGGTACCATCGTGGTCGTCGTCAGGCTTGCGCCTCCGCCGGCGAGCATACCGGCATGCCCAATCGAATTCGATCGAGGTGGTGCTGTCGCCTTGGAAACGCCGTTCTCCTTGGCCTTCTTCATGGCGCGTTTCTTCTCGCCCGGCTGGAACGGCTTGTCTAGCTCACGATATATGAGGAAGTTTCCAAGAATCCGGCTGGGGCTCCAAGGAACGCCGTCGGTCCAGCGCTTGATGCCGCTCGAGTGCTCTTCGTAGATGAAGACATTGCCGCTCACGATAAGCTCGGATCTCTCGCGATCGTGCGGGCGCCTGGGTACGTGGTTCAGGCGCCCGAGAAGACACCCTTCAAACAGGTGAAGGGCGTCCATGGTGGTGGAGACGAGGCCCCTCCAGGTCGGCTGAAGAGGAGCTGCGGACGCTCCAGGTCCAGCATGACCCAGGGTCGTGGCCCCCGTCCCGCCTCCCGCCGTCGCCATCGTGGGATCCGGTCGTCACGATGATGGGGCCGACTAGAGTCCACCCCAAAGAGACTGGCTGTCGCGAGTCGACTGCGAGATAGAATATCTGACAATCCCCAGGAGATGGAGAGTTAAGCTTGGCTTCCCTTTAGGATATGCCAGGGCAGATGAACGTTCAAAGGTTCCTGACAAGGAAGTAAGGCTTTCTGGCAGGCGAAAGTATATCGTTTTTAAGATGCGATCAGTCTGGTAGCGCTGCAAGCCAACTCGGACTGTAGAAGGTTAGTCTTAGCCCTCGAGGGAGAGGTCTGCGGAGGGTGCACTCGCCGCCCTGGATCCCACCGTCCAAGGAGGATAGAGTTGCAAGTCCGTCGAAGTCAAGAAGGGCTGTGAAACCGGGAGGAAGTGCGATGATGGGGAATTTCCTGAAGAAAATGGATTTCAGGGAAGAGCTCGGTGCGTACCAAAGTAGGTTGAATAGAATATAACCACCGAAGATCGAGAGCTCAGACACCCCACCAATGGCGAATGGGCGTAGAGTCCGGCCTCGAGCTGCGTGCGTTCTACAGCAATCGGAAAATTGTTAAGCACACCCCCTCGGGGAAAGAAGCTTTTCAACTCGGCTGGTTGTGGCTTTGGTGAGGTAGGATTTTGTAACCGTAACATGGAAAAGAGGCAGTTTAAGAGAGGGTGGGCCGCTCCAAAAGTCTAGATCCTGAGCCAGAGGAGGGGTCTCCCGAGGGGATTATATCAACTCAATCGCTCCTCTCTTTGTCTGCTTTTCTCCTCTTCTCGTCTTGTCGATGACCTGATGCAGGGAATCGAGGTTGAAGCCCGGCGGGGAAGGAAAACTACTGCGTGAGAGGGCCGGAGGTTGTCGATGAAAGGACTAACCAAGAAGACTTGGAGGCACGGTGACTCTTCCCACCAAGTGATTAAGGTTTGTCCGGTTGTGAACAGATGTGGTCGATTTTGTACATGGCAGGTAGGCCAGTGCCTTGTGGTCGAGGACTCGGTCTCGGCACCGCGCGGACAGGCGTTCCAGGAATAAAGGAGCTTGTGCTCAGCCTGGGAGGGCTGCCACGAGCGTCTTTAAGCTTTAAAGCACTCAGGGGGATCCAGGAATGGCCGGAGTCCGTTTCTCGTCACTGCCGGCGGGGTCCGCTATAGTCCCGTCGTAACCGCTTTTGGTCCCGGTCAGGTTACCTGGTACAAGGCGTGCTGCCAAGCGAGTGGCAGACAAGATAGCAGTGGGAAGGGGCCAAGTCGGGCAGACGAGGCTCATCTGATGATGCGAGTGCAACAAAAAAAAACCGTATGTGGCCCAGTCCAGATACCATGCCAAGGCCAACAATGCTGGCTAACGTTTTTTTTGTTTGGCACGGCCTTGGTACGGGGGGTAGCTTGGGGAGAAATTGGGTTATTTACGGATACCTCTTACGATGAAAGTGCGAGACGGCAGCGGTGGTCCTCCTCAGATAGAGAGGGGCTACTCGTTGGGTAATGGTCCTCCTGGATTCCTGCTTGTGCACGGCAGGAGGCGTCGAACGGTGCAAGCTCGCAGAGATGGTCTAGAGTTGGACGGTGTCAATCCGAGGGCGACTAATGGATTCCGGGAGCGCAGTCGTGAGATAATAAGTGTGAGAGCGGCCCTGGTGGCTGTCTTTGATGCAAAAATGTCTAGCAGATCTGCGGTAGTGTCCGAAGCCACGGGCGAAGCGAGACGGTGGACGGTGCCCGTGCTGGTGAATGGATGTTCGAGTCCAGGACGACGGGGAGGGAAGATAGAGGAAGTACCTATGTAGTCCGGGTGCGGTTGAAGTTGCTATGCTGGACCGGGCTGTGCCGGCTTGGGTGGTGGAAATGCTGCAAGCTGCTTGATGCTGGTGCTGGTTGTTGTGCTTGTGCTTGTGCTTGTGCTTGGGCTTGGTGCCGTCCTGTTCTGTTTCCGTACGGAGACGGCGGCGGACGAATGGGAATCCTGGGGTGGTAGCCGGGTCACACAGTTTTCCAACGTTTCGGTCGGTCGTGCCTGGCATCAGAATGCTCTTGTGGAAGTGCGGGTTACTGGTGTTCAATGACGATGCAACCCAGACGACGACCAGGTAGTTAGTTTGGCTGGCTGTCGGCCTATGTAGCTGCAGCACTGCACTGTCTGTGTGGTTTGTTGGTTAGGCTAGACAAAAAGATCGATCTAATAAGAGCACTACCGCTACCGCACTAGGAACTCCCACAGCAGGAGCTAGCGACTTAGCAGGACTAGGGACTTGGGACTACCTTGGGTGCGGACTAGGGGGGGGGCCTAGAGACTAGGGACGAGGGACTAGGGACTGTGGACTGTGGACTGTGGACTGTGGACTAGGAAGTAGGGACTAGGAATTGGAGAGGGGCGTCCCCCGAGCTCAAGCTCGAGCAATGGGAGACTCTGCGAGGGAAGGTGCAAGTTAGCGGCACTAGTCGGGCTTGCTTGGCCCAGCCTTAGCTCGCCCAGCAGTGCCATACAGCAGTACTATCGTACTGCAGGTACAGTACTATGGTACCAGTCGGCGCCGGTGGGCGCCCAGAGAAAGAGACCGTGAACAGCTTCGATCTCTCGCGCGGAAGGAAAGAGAGAGAGACAGAGAGGTTAGCGAGCGGGCGAGCTGCATTTCGGGCACTTATGTAACGCCGTAAGTAACCAGTACTCGCCGTCGACCGTCTGCCGCCGTGGTCGACTCGGGGAGGCAGGCAGGCAGGCAGGCTGGCAGGCTGGCCACTGGACCTCCGGGAGTCGTACTAACTAACGTACTTTACTAAGTTACGGCCCTCGAGGCCACCGGGGGAAGGAAGCCGGCACGTACGGCAGGCACTACGCCTCAGTCCAGTACGGTGCCGCGCTCGCTGTTCTTCTATACGCGTGTACCATGGTATGCAGTTACGGCATTCCCAGTCTGGATAGTCTGTCTGGGTGTACATGGTTACGCAACGACGTTAACTACATCGATACCTAGCTCGACGACTGCACAATGACTGGAGCGAACCACACCCCTTCATTTGCGGCACATGCTGCTTTTCTGCTGGCCACTGCTTGCCGCAGATCCAACCAGGACGAGCAAGGGACGTCCACCGGCCGCTGGGCCAAGGGGACGGGGGTTGCCTCTTGCTCTGACATCGTGTCTGGCATGGCAAAGCTCAGAGAAAGAGAGAGAGAGAGAGCAGGGTCGAGCAAGGGCTTGTGCACTGCCGTGCCTTACGTGCGTGCGTGTGAAATCGGCGACGTCGGGCACCTATCGATCTTCACGGGGGTTGCTCAATGACCGAGGATAGGGAAAGGGGGCCCAAAACGGGAAACGGGAACCCATCCATGGCATGAAGAAAGGGACAGGAACAGAAAGACTGGGCTCACCACTCACACATACCATGCCGCTTTGGAAGGCCTGCCGCGCGCTGTCGAATACCTTCTCTCTACCCTACCGCCTGACAGCAGCCATGTGCCTGTCGCCTACCCACGAACCCCTGTAGCGAGCCCGGGTATTCTTCTCGGCTGGTCCTGCAGACAGTTTCGGCATGCGCTGTGTTTCGTCCTTCGGCTCTCGATGCAAGTGGCAGGGCGGATTTTGAGTTTGGAGGCTACGGGCCCCTCGGTACCTGGCCACGCCTCGTCGCTCTCGGACCCTTAAGCTTAAACGGGCGTATAGAGCTGCCCGGAGGTAATGTAGAAACCTAATCATCAGCATAGGGCTCACTACCGCGGGCACGATTACAAAGAGGTCATGGCATATGTGGGTAGCAAAGATACTGGTTGGCTGTTCCTCCGATACCAGGTAGGTACAGTAGCAGTCGCCTGCCCGATATTGCATGTAGTCCTGACAGCCCATGAATGTGTATTCTCCTGCTCCCACCCCCCCAGTCATGGAGCAGGAAAAATGGTCTGATTCATTCAAGTGTTTGGGCACCGTGCTCAGCAGGGGGTTTCTTGTGCAGCCCGTCCTCACGAGCAGCCCGGGACGATCAGGGATGAAATTGGGAGGGGATCGCGAGTCGCTGTGCTTACAAGAGATCAACCAGGTTCTTCGTCGGCAAGTGGAGGACACTCGAAATAGTGGGATACAGCCTATCAAGGCTGAGGGTGCCAAGCCTCCCGGGGTTGAGCTGAGATAAAATAAGTCGGCGTCGAGAGCAGATACGCGTACCACAGGCGCAGGAATGACGCGTGAGTCTTCGTCACAGGAGAGGTGCCGTACTATCGGTGTGTACTGGACCTGCCGAATTGATAGCTGGCAGCAAAGAAAATGAGGCAGAATTGCTGAGAGCCTACTAGCGCTGCAATCTCCCGCTGACTTAATTTAGCAGAGCTGAGACCTCATCCAAAGACGAGGCTGAGTCGGGGTTCTCGAGTCAGTGTTATCAATAGGAGAACCCTCCCGATTGAGATATATCGGCCCAACTGCCGCGTATCGTCTCCAGCAGCATGGCAATGGCTATGGCTATGGCTATGGCAGATGGCACTGGACAATGGCAAACCACGGACCGGCTGCGCCCCCAGCAAGGATCACTAACTGTGCTCGGGATTGGGCAGAGCGTTGCAGGCAAAAATTGGGGCGCTCGGGCAAGGCGAACGACTATCCTGTCAAGGGTTGCTTTTTGCATACTAGTATTCCAAACCCACGGGCCCGTGTTGAGTCAACATTGGACAAGCCTGCGGGTAGTGTCTGTGGGGTTTTGGGTCGTGGCTTCGGAAATGGCCACCATGGGCCAATCTGCAGGTTTGAAGCCGGCTCGCCCTCCAGTATTGTCCTCTCTCATGTCACTAAGGCATAGCAATCTCGCATCGGTGTCTTACTTTAGCTCGCGTCACCGACAGCTCGGGAGCGGCCAACGACGAACGACGATACTAGCCACGCCACAGAAGCAAACCCCCCGGGATCGACGCGGTACCAGCGTTGAAGATTCTTCGAGATTGCTCCTTGCTTGATGTTTCAATCGGGCATCAAGAACGACGGTCGATCAGTTCCTGGGGGTGGGTGGCCCTCTCCGGCATGGGGGGCGGGTTCAACGACGACAATCATTTCCCTGGTTGGGGATACGGACAAGCTGGGTCCCCATGCTCAGTCTCTGTCTCCCCCGTCCGAGTATTATAAAGGGTCCAACACCCCTGGAAACCGCCTGAGCTGAACAAGACACGCCTTACCACTACCGATGCGGGCCCCGGCTGAGGATTACTACATAGGTGCAATGACATGGAGTGGACCGGGTTATTCTGCTACAGCGGGCTGGTGGCCCTGAAGCCACTTACAGCACTGTCCTGGCAGTTCAGCGCCAGAGCCTCCACAACCCGTCTAACAGCAACCGGCAATGCGACGCTGCTCACAAACATCCCGGCACCCAATATGCAGTGGGACTAGTGCACGCTGTTAGGGCCCAGACCTGCTGCTGATCGGCAGGGTCTTGCGCTGGGAGAATGCTTCTGTCAGGCAGGGCCAGCGCTGAAGTGCCTCATGGAGATGAGGCATGTGTAGTTACTGGTTGGCTTTGCCTGGGACGGAATACTACTGAGACGACATGGGCGCCTCGAAACGGGCCCTTCAATAGACGGCGCACAGGCCAGCCTCCGAGCTCCCAGACACGAGGTTTTGCACCATGGGGCGAACCTGTATTTCCCGCCTAGCGCATATGACCTCAGGTTGGTAGATGACTTAAGTCGTAGATAGACGCTTGTAAGCATACGGGCCCCGAGGCTGGCAACTTGAGGGTGGTTTTACCAGCCCCGGGGCTCTGCAAAAGAAAAAGCCTTCGCAAAGCGCAGCAAGATCTACATTGTCCAACAGACGATTTCGACGGGCACTGTCGTCCTCTGCTTGGCCACAGCTCCTCGCAGCACCGAAAACAAAACAAAATATCGAGTGTGTGTGTGTGTGTGTGTGTGCGGGAAATCAATGTGAGCACAAGAACTTGGATGTGAACCTGGAAGCCGGGATCCCCTGCCTTCAAGGACTGGTCTCCGGTCTCAATTACCGCGAATGATTGGTGCGCGACTGGGGTCTACCCTGCAATTCCAGAGACGGAACAAACCTTAAAATGTGTTCAAGGACGCACACCCCACCAATTGCTGCCTGCCCTCCGATAATGCAACAATGGATCAATCGATAATCAGATTCTCAACGTGGCATTCCTGGTCATCAGCATCCGTGCAGTGGGTGGTGCACGTACGCCCACACAACGTTCGACAGCTCGCTCGGGCTGTTGCTGACGAAGATGTCTGTCCCGCGGGAAAAAGGGCTGAGGTGAATGTCTGCTACTGCACCTGTGCATAAGTTTCTTTTGCTAGCATATTGTCTAATGGTCGTTTCAGATCTTGCGGCGCATTTCCAGGTAACAGAAGATGTAAAACTAGTTTCGACGTCGACCCCCCATTCGCCCGCCCGGGGAGAAAAAAATAATAATAATAATAATACCATAGTAATGTCGTGCTTACATACTTGCCCACCATGCAACCGTGGCCCTGCGTGGTACTGTACATTGGCATAGTCGTGGAGTCGCCGACATGGCTATGGGGTTTGGTGCGCATGCGGGCATCCGGCTTGTCGGATCTGTGCCGTAGGACCCTCCCCAGTAGCAGCTGCCTTTGTAGGCCAGTCGTTCCGACTCGCTATTAGTCTGACCTGTCGGTATGCATCGCCGCGACGCATTGACTCCCTGAGATCTCGACGTTTTGCCACGGCAATAGGCATCTCGGGGCACGTCGGCAGCGGGCGCGGCATGCGCAGACGGGAATGTACCGAATTACGGCCCCCCCTGGGCCCAAGGGTCTCACGTACGTACTGGGGGGTGGAGGGCTTTGGGGGCGCCGTGTGCAGAGAAATTGGGACGGGCACTGCATTGCGCAAATCCTGACTATGCAACTCGCAAACCAACTGCAGATGCGCTCTAGTCGGGTTCGACACCCAATTGATAATCCACCTCGTCCGGTGACAAGATACTACGGCCGACAGCATTCGTCGGTTTGTGCGGAACGTATGCGGTGACGTCGTTTCCAAGTCGTTGCATGTGCATTTCGCATGCGGGGCCTGCACCCCTACATAGTCCATGGTTGGACGGTTGAGGAGTCGTCACAGCAGACGAGTGTGGCTTAGGTAAACGTGTAGTGGGGCCCCCCGTTCCGCCGTATCACGGAACTCGCTGTCAGTTCTGTCCTGTGGGTACTGGCGATTACCGTGCGTGCATGGACCTGGACGGGACTCGAAATGCTTCCCGAGGTCCGCTTAGCTGAAATTGAGTAATTTGATGTCGAGATCCATTGCTGGGGAGGGTGGCATCCAACCTTGCCAGCGCGCATGGCAAACATGGGGGCCAGGTGGGAATGGTGGAAAGGGGGCACTTCGAGAACAACTTCAAACACGACAAGACAAGGGTGATCTTGGAGATCTTGGAGCCCAACCGGCCAGCAAGGTTACCCAACCGCCATCCCTGACCTTTAGCAGGAACTGCTCTTCCGTTGCCTCGAACTGGTCTGCGTCTTGACTGGGCATCAGTCTCGTTTTCCAACGTTTGATCTCCGCAGATTCTCTACGTTAGTTAGTGCGATGGAGCCGGCACTTTCGACCGGTCCAATGCGATGGTGGATCTTGGAAATCTCTTGGTTGCAAAGACCGCAGTTGGGCTAACACAATGCGCCGGTGCTCAGGTTCGTTACAAATTACACAGTGGTTGCGCCAGCATGTGTGGAATCAACGAATGAAACCCCGAGAAGCTGAGCTGAGCTAGCGGCTGGCGCTGACCTGCTTGCTCAAGTGCCCGCACGTACTAACTATGTAAGACCGATCCTCCTAGCATCGGAATCGTGCCGAAAATGCGCATCTTTGGCGTCTGCAGTCCGTTGCACGAAGGGAAGGTCTAGGTATGAGACGCATCAGTTTCCCCTCACGTGAAAGGGTTACCGACGTCAGAGATTCTCAGGTTCGTGCTGCTGTTCTTCAGTGAGTCGCTTGCAAGGGAGGGGGTCATCATGATGTGCAGACGGTAGTACGGTAGTCTTTCCTTCCTATCTGTCTCTCTGTGTCTGCAGTGCCGACTTGCGTGCCAAGGTGTGCCGTTGTGCCGTTGCTGGGTGGCGAGTTTGTTTCAATTACCGGCCCCATTGATCTAACCGCCTCCTGGTAATCATCTCGCAATGAGCCATGCTGCTGGGCAGCAAAGCAAGCAACGATCCTGGAAATTGCCGCAATATCAGTCGCAGAACTGCATGGTGTATGGCGGATTCGCATCAGGGTAGAAGAGTCAGTTGTGAGAGAGAGCGTGGGCGAGGGCTGCGGTGGTTTGCGGAAACGAGACCCACGCAAGATCTGGGGTCTACGTGTCTCAGTCACATTAGGTAATCTGGAGCCAAGACATGGACGCCCATTTTGTTTTGGCAAGCCCCCCAAGGCACTCTTGTCTCATACATCCAAGCCCATCGACATGATATGCGGCGATCTCTGCGGTTCGAGCGATTGGCGCTGCCCTCAGCCCGGACATGGATAATTAAGCATTCCCGGGTACCTGTCGACTCGGCCGAACAGACATCTGTCAAAAACAACCCTAACCCTGAGCCTTAGGCTCGCGTTCCAGGTCATTTGTGGTATAGACAGTCGTGTCGATGGCGCTACGGGGCTGCAGTGATAACGAGAATAGACTAGCCGGGTGGACGAGCAGACGGGCAGACCAGGTCAACATCAAAGTATCGAGGTAAACCGACAGCAACAGCCCGCATTATCTATGTATATACTAAACGAATGCGAGCGGCTTCAAATTAGTTTCACGAATCATGTTCACCATGAATGTCATGACCCTCGGACGAGCTGTCAATGTAACGGGGACGACCAGGGCGAGCCTCATTCGTCTATCAGTTGCTGGACTAAGTTTTTTTGCTTGTTTGCCGGATGCACTCGTACAGGTGCCGCGAACTGCTCATTGGCCACCCAGATATATGCTCATCTGTAACGCGATCACCTAGAGCTAGCTGTCATCTGCCGTGCAGCGCCTTAATGCAAGCCTCCAGAGCCCAGCCTGTTACCCCTCAATCTGTTCTGGGAGTCTTGGGTCTTGAGTCTTGGGTCTTGAGTCTTGGGTCTTGGGGGGAGTATTCCTGTATTCCTGTATTCCACCGTCAGGGAAGCCAGGGTCAAAGCTCCCCTGCGACTTATTAGACACGGTGATAACATGACGTGAGCGGGCGCACAGACAAAACGACACAATGCTATCGCAGATCGCACGCCCGCATGAACCGTGCTAGGGCGTAGCATGTAGGTGGTTTCACGTATCATCGCTCTCAAAAGGGACGGCTAGCGGGCAGCAGGCAGGCCAAGGCCCCAGGGTTGATGGCCCTGCAGCAACCACGTTTCGAGCTCGTATTCCCAACACGTCTACTAATCGTGCACGAGCAAACGACGGAAGCCGCGCATCGCGAATCCCAGTGTAGTTTGTGCTGATCTCGGGCGGGCCGGTAGCTGGTGGAGAGCATGTCACCGGTTTTCGAGAAAAAGCCAAGGTCGCCGTGCCCCACTTTTGCCATAAGCCTCACCAGGCCAAGAGATCGGCACAGGAATGCTGCCCAGGAATACTGAAAGATCGCTTGACGAGGCTCCATCTGCCACCCGACGCTCGCGCCCGCCGACAGAAACTGGAATGAGGACTCCGCACTCCCAGTTGCGGCAGGTGAGCTTCGGTTTCCCTGACTGCTTGTCTCTGGTCAAGCGTCCCCTATCGGGTTATCATTGCAAATTAGCAGGCTTTAGCGCCAGGAACATCATACGATGTCGTCCAGCCACTTACCAGGCACTTTCCGAAACATTGGCGGAGCCGATATACCCCCAGGCGGCGGAATACTTCTGAGACGGTCTCGCTTGCACGAACATCATTTTGCTGTGCATCAGGAGGCCAGGCCGCACGTTCTTGCAATCGTGCACCAGCTGTCGAGGAAACTTGTCTGAATCCCACCATTTGGTCTGCGCACAGATGGTTCCCGCGGACTCCCTGCAAGTTAGCGCTGGAAACGGTGAGCTTCGCAATTGGGGCCGACTGACCTGGCTGCCTCCCCGGCTCTGGGCCACGGTCTCGTGGGATGGGAAGTAGATGCGAAACCTATCATACAGCTTTGATTCTACCGAGTCTGCTCTCTTTGCGCCTTTTGACGATCTCTCGCCGTAGACTTTGAGCCCGTCATCTCCCTGTGCAGCGTAATACATGGCCGCGATGAGCTCGCTGTTAATCGAGCCAAGCGATGAGGCAATATAGTCAACCTCAATGGGCTCTGCTGAGCCGAGGCCGAGGGCTGATACTGCTCGACCAAGCCCGCAGTAGCCTGCCATGCCAGAGTCATTAACTGTTAATCGGCGAACAAGTTGAAAAGAAAAGCTCAAGCTTACCAGTACGCCTCCAATCATCATCAGTTTGGGATTGGCCACTTTGTTGCGTATTAGTACACAATATGTAAAGAACCAGGGGGGATGAACTATTACATTGAATGAATGAAAGCGTAACGACTCGTCTCCGAGAAATCGTACTTTTCTAGGCTCTTGATTAAGCCGTCGTCCAAACCCTGAGCCCTTAAGAAAAAAGCAAGCTCTTCACCGAACAGGGTGAGTTTGTTGGCAGCCTGGGCCTCAGGGTCTTCAATCTTGGGGAGGTCTATAATGAAAACCATCTGCCATCTAATTAGCAATAGGCCACGAACGATGGGTATGAAAGAACCGACGTTCTCCATTACGCCGGTTTCGCCCCAGTCGTAAGATACCAAATTCCCGCTGGGCACGACGATGCGCATATAGTTGGGGAATCTTAGGAGCTGTAGCTTCGAGTGCATGCTGCCCATTGGCAACATGGGCGGGAAGCAGAATCTGATAGACTTTCCTGGCACATTTGCTTTCATCTCCTCTTGCTACCATGCGAGTCAGCCAGAGAGTCGCTCAGACTTCCTGCGGTCTCCAGGGGATAGCCAGGAAACGCAACGTACCTGCTGCTTGCTCGAAGCGAATGCGACTAGGACGAGTTTCGTCTTCGCTATGTTAATCTTCGACAGAAGCCACTCTTCGTCCCATTGGAAAGAGCTCAGCACAGCGAACTCTAGTTCGCTCTTCTGGAGAATCTCTTCGATCTTGATGTCTTCCTCAGTTCTAGGGTAGCCGTATGCCCAAGTCTTTTTTACAACACCCTTCCCAAAACGTAATCCATTGGAATTCGATGTCTTGATATCGGGTGCTGTAGAAACATTGGGCGGTACACTCTGGCGGCCCAGTCCATCCTGGCGGGTGGCTTCCGTCCCTGAGGATTGGGGCGCCGCCCCCGTCCGCGGTATACGCTCACGTCCCTGGGGTACCTGCTCAGAATCGGGGGCCTTCCGCTTTCCAGCAAGGCGGGCGAGGCGTTCTTGTTCCATCTGCCGCCGGTTCAGTCCCGCCAGGCCCATCGGTCCACTCCCGGGCTTCTGCTGTTGCTCTACTACTGCAGGCGGAGAAGCTTTCGGGTTTGGTTGGATCTTTCTCATCTGCGCGTCACTCTTCGTCTCCAGTTCGCGGACAGGGGTCTCGTCTAGGTCAATCTCCTCGTCCGAGCTCAGTTCGATTGCTTTGTTCCCCTCCACCGGATCGGGATGTCCAAGGGAGAGTGCGATGGCGCGGCGTAAATCCTCGTCGTCGCTCTCATATCCACGGTCAGCCATGATGAAAAAGTTGACGCAGATCTGCCGAGAAGTTGGCGGCAAGGGGCAAGTAGCACGAAGACGCAGTGTTTCCCGGGCGGGCACGGAATATGTCGCGAAGTCCGAGGTCTGAAAGCCGGAGCTTGAGCTTCAGACAGGATCAGGGCGACGTGACTTGGCTGCCAGGGAGTTGCCCCGCGCACACCGCGCGAACGCGGCGCGCTTGCACGTGACCCGCCCAGCGGCACTTCAATGAAAAGAGCCGTCCACATATTTTCATCTAGCTTTGAGCTTGCATCCCTGCCTACCGAATCTAGTGCATGCAACACACTGGTGAGGCTTGGGCACATGGCCCGGAATGAGGAGACAGAGTTTGACCAACTCTTCACTCTATTTTAGCTCTCGCAGGCTAACGAAGACTATCCGCGATTCAGAGAACCATCGCAGAGCCTCATCCGATCGTGCGTGACCGTGCTGAGAAGCCGTTGAGCTGAGACCAGATGAGTGCGGCCAAGGCCACTACCAGAGTAGATACCTTTTGCCTTGACTCGCACTTCACGGCATTTCTTAGGACGCATCGGATCCGCGGCAAGAACGCAGCCAATGGCCCCCAATGGCCGGCACATGGACCGTGGTGTTTGAAAATCGTCCTTATAACGTACCACATATGAATGGGACTTCAAGCATGTAACGACGCATTTCACTCCCAGCACAGCCCATGCCGGCAGCACCCTTGCCATCAGTACCACCCAAATATAGACTTCTCCAAGATGGACGCGCACAGGCATCGGGCTTCATCGTCCCATCCCAGGGATACGGTAGTCTCGGCACATCGATCACTTGGTCCGCGGCAGGTTACCCAGATCGGTCACATTTTCTAGAAAATAGTCGGGGCCCGATATGACCAGGGAACTTCGTCCTCCAAGTCCCGCACACTCCATTCCTTCCACATGCTGCCCGATTCGATCAACCAACCTGTAGTTTCTGGGACAAAGCACGACCCAAGGTGTCATCATTCTCGGGTCTCCGCTGACCAAGCGTCAATATTCCACCACACTATCTGGCGAATCAAACCCGTTAATTGTTGATCTTTTGTGTACACGTGCGGTGCGAGGTGCCAGATTCGCGGAAACCAGAGATTCCCCAGTTGCAACGTTTCGGTTGGGCAAGCCCTTCTGGCCTCTCCAGTATTGGTCAGTTTCTGACCAATGCAATCAAGTCGTCTTACCATCTTTTCCTCGTTACCGTTGCCGGCCTTCTACTATTGGAACCAGGTCGACGATGCATTGCTTCCTGCCTGTGATTAGTGTGATAGGAGAAGATGGCCCATGCACCCAATCGCGGCAAGTCACGCTATAGTAAGTCGGAGCACCCACATATGGGCCCCCCCTGCATTTGGGCCCCCTGTTCACCAACCACCCGATTTTCCTACCATACAACAATTTACCTCACTGTTCAACCAAACCTTCTTCAAATCTCTTCAAA